GGCTGGGTTGGATTCGAACCCGCCACCTTAGGTGTATGTGGCTGGCGCCTTAGCCACTTGAGCCACAGGCGCCGAGCCTGAAGAGAATTTTCATTTAAAGGTCTTGTATACACCCTGATATAATCAGTGGTGGCATTTTGCCTGAGGGAGTGTCCTAGAACAAAGGAAGGATAGCGTGGGTTATCCTTGAGGATACTGGTACTTAGTCTAACAGCCTCCTCATTCACTAGGGAATAAACTTATAAAAAATAAATTTTAAAAAATAAAAAGGAAAGAAATACCTGAAATGAAAGGTACCTTACCTTATCTCGGGGACAAACTCATATTGAAGTATCAGGGTTCAAAGTCATTTCTGTCTTGGAATTCAGAAATTAAATGTGGTTACTGGGACACACATTTATTTGACTTGAAAGGTGAAGTCAGAATTTTTCTGGCTGAAAGTAAATTTGATTAGGCAAATTAGTTTGACAGAGTGGTGTTTCTAATTTGCATAATTACTTACAATATGTTGAGCTAAACCTGTAGTTACAACTAAAAAATAAAACTACTATAATATTGTAATGCTAAAGATGTATTGAAATTAATCTCTCAAATTTCTAAACACTGCCTAAATGCTTCTGAGAGCAATTAGTGTAATTAAAATCACTTGAGAAAATGAACGACTCTAGTAACAGGATAATAAAATCTTTTTGCAAATCACATGGTTTCCAGTGCTTTGATTTCAACAAAATTAGTGGTGGACCTAATTAAGTTGTCAGCTGATGAAAGAACATTATTGGGTTTTTTTTTTTTTTTTTTTTTGAGTCTCAAGCTGTTGGCCTGAGTAGAGTGGCATAGTGTCATAGCTCACAGCAACTTCCAACTCTTGGGCTCAAGAGATCCTCTTGCCTCAGTTTTTCTATTTTTAGTAGAGACGAGGTCTTGCTTATGCTCAGGCTGGTCTCGAACCGTGAGCTCAGGCAGCCTACCTGCCTCTGACTCCCAGAGTGCTAGGATTACAGACATGAGCCACTCCGCCCAGCCTAACATTATTGGATTTTTGACATAAAACTCAGAAAGTAAATAGTTGATTGACATTGCTATAGCAAAACCACTGGTATTACTGTATATTTATTGTGAATACTATTTCTCAGCACCTAAATCTGTGAAAACAAAAAAGGAATAAAATTGAAATTGAACGCTGTTAAACTAGCAGTTAGAAAAGAAATATTCATCTAGGTACATGAATTAATTGGTGAGCCCCATCCATCTCACTAAGAGATGTGTTCCTGATAGAATTTACCTTTTATGTTTATGTCTTACCAGAATTTGTAATCATGTCATTTTGGTAAGCTGTATACTAGATTATTGTGATGAGTGCTCAATTCAGAAGAATTCTAACAAAGAGACAGGAATTTTTTTTCTTTTTTTCCGAGACACAGTCTCACTTTGTTGCCCTGGATAGAGTGATATGGCATCATAGCTCAAAGCAACCTCAAACTCTTGGGCTCAAGTGATTCTCTAGCCTCAGCCTCCAAAGTAACTGGGACTCCAGGTACCTACCATAACTCCTGGCAGTTTTTAGAGAGGGGGAGGTCTTGCTGTCGCTCAGGCTGGTCTCAAACCTGTGAACTCAGGCAATCCACCCACCTCAGCCTCCAAAGTGCTAGGATTACAGGCACCAGCCACCTTACCCAGCAGAGGCAGGAATTTTTTTTTTTTT